AATGTCTTAGTCACTTTTTTGCCAAGGAAACTCAAAGCGATTTACAATATATAAACACACACACACACACACACACACACACACAACACCAGCATAAAAGAAAACAAAGAAAAATCTAAAAGACAATTTATATAATTAAAAGCTACATAATGTTTTCACGTGTTGCCTAAAAATATGTAATGAAGGTGCCAAGCGATCCTCCCTGTGGAGAGCATTCCACAAGCAGGCAACCACTACTGAAAAAGGTCTGTTGTGTTGCCATCCTCTGGACTTCTCATAGAGGGGGACATGAAGAACCATTATCATATAGAATTTTAAAATTACTTACCATTTTATAAACTTGGAAGGGTTTGGAGCACGTAGAGTGATGTAAAACCTGTCGGTGTACTCACAAAGTAAGAGGTCGGGATCTAGGGAGAGTTCCTCTTATGGGATACTCCTGTTGAAGGAAAAGGAGGCAGCTAATTTCACCAATCCCTCATTCACCTACAGTTGTATTTGCATCCCAAAAAGATGTTCTGGAGGATTGGGGGACCCACCAGAACAGCATGGGAAGTGGCCCTGGGGGCTGGTGCAGCAATAAAACTGAGTATATTTTCAAAGCTAAGCAGGGTCCAGTATGGTTTCAAATTGGATGGGAGGACCACCAGTTGAGATTCCTGCATTGCAGAGGGTTGGACCTGATGGCCCTTGGCATCCCTTCCAACTTTAGAGTATGATTCTATGAAAAGGGGAAAATCAGTGAAAATTGCCTCCCCTACTTCCTCAAGCACAAGCACAAGCCTCCATTGAATCTGCCCCTTCAATAAATGGAACAAACAAGGGCAAATCTTGATCAAACAATTGTTGACAGTAAATCCTATTGATATCCATGAGAGTTAAGCATTTACTTGTGCCAGACTGTATTCATAGATAACGTTGGGGAAAACATAAATATTTTGATAAATATATTTTGGTCATTCCTTTTTTACAACAAGGCTAAAAGTTTATTTTACAATATTTCCAACCATCAATTTTCCTTCTCATCTTCAGTTTTATTCTGTGTATTGAGTCTCTGGCATAAAATGTATAATGGAAGAATAACTGAGATGAAGGGTAAACAAAATTCAACCAACCATTCAAGCTAAACCAAACAAGTTAAACCCAAACATACAGTTACAGATGTTGTTATTAACAGTTACATATCCCCTGCAGGGCAAAGCTAACATTCTAAAAGGATGGAATTTATCTTGGTCAGACTACAAAATCAGTTACAATAAATCTGAAATCCATCTGTAATACATAGCCCCATTTTGGTTTTAATGCTAAACAATAGCTTAGTGTTACATGAATGAGCAGTATCAAGCCTCAGGCTTGTGTTCTCCTCCCTCCCTTTTTGTCTTTAGTAACCTTGACGAGGAGACCAGAAACTATGTGTTCCTATTTTAAATTAAGCAGAGTTTGTCATTATGAACTGGGGTAGAAGAATGTGGACAGTTTAAAATATGGTTTGTTGAAACAAGCTGGAATCAAATAATGGTTTATGATACTGACTTGCTAACACAAACTATAGTTTAAACCAAGGGTAGCCAAAGTAGCCATCCAGTTGTTGTTGAAGTACAGTTCCTACCATTAGCCATGCTATTTGTGGCTGATGGGAGCTGGAATTCAACACACCTGGAGAGCATCATATTGGCCACCTCTGGTTTAAACTAACCACAGTTCTTCCAGTTCAGACATCAGAGGGGACTTTAGTTACTTTAAAATAAAAGGCAGGTGCTTCCAGTGCACCAAAGGAAGTGAGAAAGTGCAAGAGCACCACTGCTCATTCGGATAATACTGAACTATGGTTTCAGGGTTATGTTCAAAACAGATTATAACCATGTAAACGGATGGAAAATAGTAGCAATATCCCCCTGTGCACTTGCTGGTAGGAAGCAGGTTCTAGCTCAGGCTGTGATAACCCCACCATCCTTTCATGGGACTGTTGGTCTCCCATGAAAGTGAGTATTTTTTGAGAAGAGGGAGTTGGGGAGAAATTTCTTATATTTCTCAGGAGGGGTTTACCATCACTGACACTGGGCATAAAATGTATAATGGAAGGATATCTGAGATGAAGGGTAAACGAAGTTCAACCAACCATTCAAGTTAAACCAAACAAGTTAAACTCAAACATACAGTTACAGAAGTTATTATTAAGTTATTAACAACCCATCACTGGGTTGCAGCAGGTTATAGCGGGTCTCTGTTTTAACTGGAAAACAAGCTTTGCCATTGCTTCAAAGAAGCAGACTGGAAAGTGTTGCTTCCTGAGAATGGTCCAATGGGATCAACACTCTAAAGTTTTTTAGTTGGGGCCTAGTTAGTGCTGAAACAACACCTAATATTGGTGTGCTTCCTGTTACTCCTTGTTGGACAGCTCCCCTTGTTATCTAAACTTCCAGATCACTGACTTGCTGGACAGCTCCTGGCAAGGCAGGATTTTGAGCCACATGGCAGGGGTAGCAGGAAGGGGACATTCCCTTGCAAAAATTTTGGATTCAGCATCTGGGTAAATCCAAAAAGACACCCAGAAAAAGGAGACTTTCCTAGGGCACAGCGACACTTTACAAGATGGAGACCATGTAATATGTATGACGTTTGCCACCAAATGTAGGTGGGGTTATATAAAAATTTAACTCTACTGGTCTGGGGCCTTCAGCTAAAGGAAGGCAGAGGTAAATATTTATATGGATCCACCCATGTTTGGCAGCAAATTTTATACATGTTACATAGGAATATAGGCATATTTGATTTTTAATAAAATGTTTGTTTTGTGAATCAAAGAGAGTATCAACAAGATGTGTGTGTGGGGGGGATCAATATTGCGACCTAACACTGAGAAACTGCAGGTTCCATTATTGAAGAAAGGAAATAAACATTTTTTAATACAGTGGTACCTCGGGTTACATACACTTTAGGTTACATACGCTTCAGGTTACAGACTCCGCTAACACATAAATAGTGCTTCAGGTTAAGAACTTTGCTTCAGGATAAGAACAGAAATCGTGCTCCGGCAGCGCGGCGGCAGCGGGATGCCCCATTAGCTAAAGTGGTCTTCAGGTTAAGTACAGTTTCAGGTTAAGAACGGACCTCCAGAACGAATTAAGTACTTAACCCAAGGTACCGCTGTATAGGGCAATGCCCACATTACTTAAGCCAACATAGGCTGTCAAGCACTGAAATACTAAACAACTGAAATATAATTTTCTTCCAAGTACTTCCCATATTTTGAACATTGCCTTGAGACATAGGTGGAGAACAATTAATAAACAATTACAATGATAGGTGTGTTTGCAACCCAAGGAATGGGAATATCTGAACTTCAAGTAACTGTGTTGGTCACTTTTTAAATTTATGTGAAACACCTGTATGCTGTCTGAAGTGCCAGCATTCTCAAACCCTAGTCCAAGTGCTACAAAATCTCATAATGTACATCAAACAAACTCTCTCTTGCAAACAGCATGATCAAGATGCTTTGATAAGTACTGTCAAAGGCATTTACACACACACTAGTATCTTTACAGGAAAACTCCTTCTTCACAGGAGACAGTAGCTTCTCTGTACCCTGGCTCATGACACAATTTGTGATGGGGCTTTCTAAATCATACACACATTAAAGGAAAGAAAACAGAGGGTTTACTGTTCTTATTTTGTTGCCTTTTCTCTGGTGGCTCTGAAGCTTTCTTTTGAACTGCTCCTCCATTGCTTCCTATTGCGAGAGTCAGTAAAGTTTTAGCTCACCAACATACACTTGATGGGATAACAACATAGGGAAGTGTTCCATTGTAAGTATCTCAATTAAAATTTGTATCCAATGTTTTAGAAGCATGGCCAGGGCAATAGTAAACCTGTATTCTGTATACTAAATAGCTGCATATTTTTAAAATGCCAAGGGTGCCGGAGTGGAGCTTCAGTGACCTCATGTAATCAGAACGCAGGAGATGCTATAATTTTGCTAACATGCACATTTATTTATTTTTAATTTTTATTAAATATTGTCTTGGTTTACAAAAGTGCATGCATGGTCTCTTTTTTCAGGTTGTGTTTTCTACAGATCAATTACATTTGCACAGGGACCTATTAGCATATACCAATATGTACACAGGCTCCATTACACTATAGCAATGGAGGCAGACAACATACATTTGGATGTACATGCATAGGGCCCTGTGCAAATGTAATGCATGGAAGACAGGTGTGCCAACAGGTGTGATCAAGCCCTACAGGGAGGCTGTACCTAAATTGGTCATCTGCACAAGGCTCCTGGGTTTGTTTGTTTGTTTTTTGACAAATGGATGCACAGCTATTATAAGCTGAATTCCTTATTTGTTGTGGCTTCTGCCATGAGAGGTACATCCAGTTTTAGATCAGCAAATTGCCAAATACCTCAGCTCAGGGGTGCCAGGGACGAGGGGTGTCATGCAGTGTGCATGGCCCTGGCACTGAAATTTGTGGGTGCCCAGCTCCTTCATGGGAATTTTGTGGGTGGGCACCCAAAGCCCCAGGGAGTTGGCCCCTATGCCTCAACTAATTGATTGCACGATGCATATATGATGCTGTCTACTAACCAGATTTGTATTTATATACTGTACAGCAATCCCTAATTATAGGTTCTATGTGACTGTGTGCATGTGTGCATGCATTTACGAAAGCACACACATATACATTAGCATCTATAATGATACTTATGTGGGAATGTGTGGGTAGGAGGCACGACCCGTGACTGGCTGTGAAACACAAAGAATAACAAACTCGGAGCCAGAATCTCAGCAGTCTAGCTCGTTTGGGACATTTTAAAGCCGCAGCCTCTCAACTGGGAGAGCTCCAATTAGCCCCGAAACAAACTCCAAAAGCGCACAAGCTTGTGTGTGAAACAAGCAGTTGCTGGCACGCAACCGTTTCCCAAGGTTGTGCTTCCTTTGCTTTTCGCTGAGATTTGGCGCAGGCGAGGGAAAGGGGTCGGAGTCACATGGATACAAAGCTTTTGATTAATGTCCAGGCGCTGCTGCTGCTGCTGCTGCTTGAAGTCTCCAAATCTCCCCACAGTCATACAAAGAGAGCCGAGAGCTGGTGACCACTCGCACTTCCTTCAGGCTGGGTCCCTCTTCCTGACTGGGAAGGGACACTTGAGAGAGAGGGGGAGAGAGGCGAGGGGTGGAGGGAGCGAAGCTGCTCCTCCACAGCTGGGATAGTGAGGGGAGCCCACAGAAGCGAGCTCCGGCCTCGCCATGGAACGGAGCGGGCTCTTTTGTTGTGGTCTTTTCTGAACCCCTGAGGGAATTTCCCCGCCTTTTCCCTCCCCTGTCCTGCCGGCCGCCTCGCCAAACACGAGAAGGAGCCGAGGGGAAGGAAAGTTTCGAAGGCGCTTCTTTCGGGGGTGGCGGTGGATAGGACACAATGACCGAAGAAAGCAAAGGGGAAGGGAAAGGAGAGAGCGGGAAAGACCCCGAGAAGCAGCTGCGCCTCCGGGTGTGCGTTTTGAATGAGCTGCTGAAGACGGAGCGCGACTATGTGGCCACTCTGGAGTTTCTGGTGTCGGTGAGTTGCCCGCCCCTCCCCCCTCGACGCTTCTTCGCCTTCGCGCGGGGCTCCTCGGGCGCCTCGTCCTGAACTTCTTGTGCACAAACAACCAGCCTGCTCCTCTCTCCCTCCCTCCTCTCCCCATTTTCCCCCCTTGCCAAGTTTGCCAGTAGAGAGGAGGGGGAAGGGAATGGTTTTCCTGGAGGAACTCAAAAGCTTTGGGGACCAAGTAGGAGGAAAAAAAAGAGAAGATTTGAGGCGAATTCCTGGTGATCCAGGTCTCTTTGTAAAGCCATGTTGTGGTTTTTCCTTCTTAGAGGAGAAAATGGGGGTAGGGTGGTGTTTCTTGTGGCATGTATTTTCCTCAGCTGATTTTAAGCATGTTGCTTTTGTGTTGAAGAGGTGATGGAGCTAACATTTCAAACAAACTAACTTCCTCTCTGGGCACAGACATTGAAAAGTAGTGAGTGCTGTTTGCCTCAGGTACATTTCGTTGAACGGCATTTGGGGGGATATTAACTGTTGGAAGTTTAGAGTTTCCTCTCCTAAGGCGCCACAGTCTCTGTATTTACAATAATCCTTGTAACACAGTATTCTGGCAGGGGGTAAAAGAGAGAGAGAGAGAGAGAGAGAGAGAGAGAGAGAGAGAGAGAGGCGCACACACAAGCAAAAGGGGGGGGATGCTTGATCTATAGCAGCTGTTCAATATTAAAGCCACATGTAGCATTTGCCCCTTCTCCCCACCCCTTGACATCCTTCTATTCAAAATTTTATTTTGGTAATAAGTTGGTGACCCATGATTGAAATGACTATGAATTGCACAGCTGTAAAGGTAACACACCTTTTATATAGGGCCGAATTCAGTATAAAAGAAGAAGCTTTTGCATTTGGATGAAGCAGACTTCTGAAAGAAACAAGGAAGGTAGAACTTCCTGTGAAGGATCATAAACGCAAACATCTCTATATTACCTCCTGGCTTAATTTACACATTTATTGGCAGCATCACTTAAGAAGCTTTTGGGATAAACAAATCTCAAGTTGTCTGCTTAGTTTTGTGGAGTGCCTGTCATAATACCCCTCACATTTCTCTTTCTCTTCTCCCCCTTCTCATCCTGAGGGGGAAATCTTTCAAACAGCAAACTTCCTGCTTAGGTTTCTGAGATCTGTGAACTTTATCAAGCAAGAGAAAACCCTCAGCTTGGCTTTTGGCAAGAAGACCAACAGTAGAGAGTAACATACTATACTGTGTTTTGTCATTCAGCTTCTGTTTTACACAAAATATAGTTGTTCAAGTATTTTTTGCTCCTTATCTGATGCACCTGGAATTTGCTTTTAAAAGTGTCAACAAGTTGAAAACTCCTGAGATCTTGTTTTGTCTGTATTTTTAGTACAATGTTGGTCATTCCTGAAAAATAAAGCTGTTGACACAAATATTACGTCTTAGTTCAGGCTGCGGAGGGTGATGGTGGTGCAATCTCTGGGATGAATAAAATTTAAGTTTCATTTAACACCTGTGAAGATTGGGATGTGTGCAGGCTAGCTGGAGTTTCAAGCTAAGGCTCTGGTAAAAAATGGAAGTGTGCAGTGCCTATATATTCCAGTGAGATTTGTGTGCATGTAAGGTTGTCCTGCCAACCTAGCAGTTCGAAAGCACGTCAAAGTGCAAGTAGATAAATAGGCACCACTCTGGCAGGAAGGTAAACAGCGTTTCCGTGTGCTGCTCTGATTCGACAGAAGAGGCTTAGTCATGCTGGCCACGTGACCCGGAAGCTGTATGCCGGCTCCCTCGGCCAATAAAGCGAGATGAGTACCGCAACCCCAGAGTCGGCCACAACTGGACCTAATGGTCCTTTACTCCTTTACCTTTTTAAGCTTGTCCGGGATAGTGTCCCAATGTGAGTGAACTACGCATTGTTTACCTACTGCCCTCTTATGAGGAGGGGCAATAGCTCAATCATAGAACACAGGCCTTGCATTCAGAAGGCCCCGGGCACTGGCGGAGGAAGGGGGTGCGGTGGGTGCGGCCCCAGGATGCTTAGCCCCCCCCCGGGTGCACAGCATGTGCACTGCTCTGGGGGCTAGAGCACCTATTTCCACCTCTGACCCCAGCTTCAAGGCCTGACATCGATTTAAATAAATAAGCAAAAGACAATAGGTAGCAGGTGACCTGAATGCCCTCAGGTGATACCCTAGAGAGTTGCTGCCAATCAGAGTAGACAATACTGGGTCAGATGGTCAAGTACTGTGACCTAGTGAACTGGACCTTGGAATTAACTTCTCTTATTAGTTAGATAATGTGGAAACTTGCAAAGTAACAGAACTCTGTTGCAGGGAATCCCTGAAGTACTTTTTAGGTGGGGAAACTCGATGTTCTAATATTACATGAAAAATTAAATTCAAATTTCCTGAAAATACAGTTTATGAATATTACACAAATGTGAAAGAATGGCGGTGCTGATGGCCTAGAAATTCTTATGCATAGAACCTCTGCAACAGTGGGGTTTTTGGATTGTTGCCTTGGTCTCTTATTTTCTTGTTGATCTCATTGTGAGACTACAGCTGCTATGCTGTGCACATTTACATGAAAGTAAGTCCCACTAAGCACTATGGGATTTAGTAATGAGTAAACATGCATAGGAATAGGATTATAATTCATTTTCCTTTGGGTGCTAGTAGCTGCCAACTATTGCTAGGAGGCACAAGGTACATAGGTTGAGCAAAACCATATGCATACAGTAATGCATTAATACAGACATAAGAAGAACACTGCTAGATCAGACCAAATCTCCATCTAGTCCTGCATAGTGTTCCCACAGTGACCAACTAGATCCTTATGGGAAGCTGCAAGCAGGAGATGAGTGCAGTAGTAGCACTCTCCCACTTAAGATACCAGGTAACTAATGTTCAGAAGCATGCTGCCTTTGGTACTGGATCCATCTTGACTAGTAGCTACTGATAGTCTTATCTGTTAATTTGTATAATCACCTTTAAAACCATCTATGTTGATAGTCACCATCACATCTTGTAGTGTGAATTCCATAGAGGAAGTCTCCCACTGTTTAGCTTCACTGGATAACCCTGGCTCCCAGTGTTATTAGAAGGGAGGAAAAGGTCTCTCTTTCCACTTTCTTCACAGCATGCATCGTTTTATACACCACAAATATGTTTATGCAAAAAAGAGATGCAAACATGGTTGCCTTTCTTCAGAGGAAGTCGCTCCATCCCTTTGATCATTTTAGTTGCCCTTTTGTGCACATTTTCCATCTCTGCAAGCACATTTTTGAGGTTTGGTGGCCATCACTGTACACAATTCCAAGTATGGTCACACAGTAGATTTGTATAAGTGTATAATAAATACTACATTAGGTAAAAAAAATAATTGTGCAAAAATTGAGATTTCTGTTGAAGTGGTGAGTGAACTCTGGGAAAGCCTCAGAGAAATTATTTGATATGCTGTTCTTTTTGATGTTTGAAATTAATCTTCAGGCTATTGCTGATTTCTCTGTGGTTCAACAACATCAAAGGAACTTGGGTTTCCTAAAAGTTTGTTCAGTACAACAGATGATGCACTGCCCATTACAAGAGGCTGAAAGACTTTTTATTCTTTGGGCCTATCTTTGAAATCTTTACACCAGCCAGGAAATATTTTACATAGTCCAGACAGTGACAATGACATTTCAGCTCATTTAGGGGACAAAACTAAAAACCACAGGAAGTCTGTTAAACAACCCAAAGGTAATCCAGTAGCCAAGCAGGATCCATGCAAAGGATCAGTGATCACACTCACACTAACATATAATTTGCTCTGATGTCATAGAAAAAAATAATTATGTATGAAAGATGGAGAATCAAGGAAAGGTCAGAGGCAGGGAAGGAACAAAAAAGCCTAAACAGCAATCTGACTTGGACACTCTGCATAAACGAAGGAAGATCAGAACCTCTTTCCCTCTCTCTATGTTTGCACCACCTATTTATTTCCCACAAATAAGAGATCCATCCCTACTTGCCCCCAAAGGTTTTGCTACTTCTCTTTTGTGACCACATCTGCAAAGAGAAGTAGAATTATATACAACTTCAATCTTGGCTCTGACAATGGAATTTGGACAAATTATGTGGGGGGGTTGCCTGCTTCAGCCACCACTATATACTGATTCTCCAGATTGCAACTGAACTTTGGCCATTGACTTCAACGTAGGTCAAGTTTTCCAGAGCATCTTGTGCTGCAATACTAAGGCAGAGACGGTGACTCTTGAATTAATATACCGGAGGTAATTAAGGCTCTTCAAAGCAAAGACTTGCTTAGATTGAAAAGCTGAAAGCATGATAACATCAACACACATCCAGTCCCGAGACACAGTAAACAGGAAATAAAAATAAAGTAAACATTGAAGTCTTGGCTCTAAAAGTTAAAAATGCTCATCCAGGATTTAGAGCTATATCTGTAACATATATCTAAAGTTTAGATGATAAGATTTCACATTAACTGGCAGCAGTTCTAGAGGAATAGCTGTCTGTCTCAGAAAAACATTCCTGTGTTGCTTTAAAGACATTGTTGTTGTCTATCTATCTGAATATTTGTCTGTCTGTCTAGTACAACCTAGCTCTTTCTCATTCTTCTTGACCTAGGAAAAGCCCTGCCACATGTCTGTTTTGGGAGCCCTGACAGGGAGCTGTATAAACACTTCTTAATAAATGAGCTGTTAACAATGCTTATGTGGAGATTTAAAACAAGGGACCAGCATCTTATAAATTTATTCTTATATAAATCTCATAATTTTTAGGATTGTTATTTTTATTGTTAACTGGACAAACTTATTTTTCTTATTCACATTTTTATCTTTGAATTCAATTATTAATCTATATTATTCTTCAGTTAAAATCATGTAACCTACAAAATAGAAGATATAACACTGTAGTCAGTTGCTGTCCCAATAGTTCAACCATTGATCATTTGTTGAAATGTACCTAGTGGCAATAAACTTATACTATAAAGAGGTGATCCAGTCAACATAGTATAC